GTCGTACCTCCCCGCCTGGTGGATGACGTGGTGCAAGGAATCCATCTAGAACGAGGACAGGAAGGAAAAAAAGCCAAGTTCAAGTACGTGGGCCAAAAGTTCTTAAGTAAAGGGTGGGTTTTCTTGCAGGAAGACGTTTTCTTTGCAGGTTCTTTGAGCTCTACGTGGCTATCGAGCAGAGTTCGAGCCTATCACGTCTAGCTTTTATGAACAGATGTCGTGCGGTTCAGATAATGTTTAAAAATCCAGCAGAAAGCTTAAAATTAGTTTGACAGTAGAGCCGACCCCAAAACCTAAGCCTAGTTTTACTTATATTGAAAAAGAGTGGCTCTGACAGGAGAAAACATTGATTTGTTAATATAAATTAAAAGGGATAGAAGAATAGCAGTAGACAAATTTAGGTATTAGTTAATTCTGTAAGAGAAAATCCCAGTTCCAAGAGGAAATAACATTTCAAAGTATGTTTTGGGTTTCTTTTTTTCTTACTGACCTGCGACTGCACATTGGCTCCCACCGGGGAGCTCTGGTAGGAGGTCAATGACTGCAAGTTTATAAACGAATCTCCGGAATTTGTCATCTTAAAAGAGCCCGAGGAAGCTGGAAAAAACAAGAGAAAAAGAGTGTGTTTTAAGGAGAAATAAACCCCGCCAAAAACAGTTGTGCCATGAGAATTACATCAGTTGAAAAGAAAAAGAAACCCTACGACGGGTTCAAACGCCGCTGTTCCGCGGTGCTGATTATCACCAGAGATAACCCTCACTGACCTGAATTTGGTGTCGACGGAGAATTCGCCTGGTTGCCTTGAGCCACGACGTTAGTCGCATCCACTGCGGTTTTTGCGGCGTAGATATTGGCTTCTTCTTGGAACTTCCCCATGTTTTTCTTGTACCGAATTCTTTTGTTACCAAACCAGTTGGAAACCTGGAGACGTGGATGATTGCTGTTAGCATCTGATCCAACTGCGACATTTCAATCTATATTCAGAAGTCGCCAGCAAAGGAGACACTTGAAGCAGAAATTACTACTAACCCTTCAAAATAAGCAAAATCCCATTTAAGCACCAGTAATTTCAAGCCTGTTGCTAACTACTGGGAGGAAAAACCAAACCTGTTCAAAGGAAAAACAAAGTCAATTCCAGACAAAACACTTCATACCTGTGAAACTGTGATGCCCCCTTTCTTCGCGAGCTCTTCTTTGGCCTCTTCGCTGGGGTAAGGATTGCTCAGATGCGAATAAAAATACTCGTTCAGCACTTCCGTCGCCTGTTTGCTGAAGTTACGTCGTTTGCGCCTGCAAAAAGACGAGTGGTTCCTATTTCAGCAGTGCTAGAGACGGGCTACAGAGCGTGCTGTTCGCTTTTTTCCCCCTCTAAAATACATCTAGTTTGCGGGAGGATGTAAGAATCAGGTAGAATTAAAGAGCAGTTGTACCCCAAAGGGTACCCCAGCGAGCAAAACGGGTGGCGAAGTCTTAATTTTCAAACTAGACCGATGGCGGCATCGCCCGAGCGTCGCTTTCTCCCGGAATCGTATTCCTGGTACCTCGCATCGAGGAAGCGAGAGCGCAGGATCATCACTGCCTCGCACGTGCTCTGCTTCAGCTGCATCTGGATGGTGCTGAACTTGCCGTGGATGATGTTCACCATGCGCTCGATTTCTTTGGGCGAAATCGGCCTGGTTCTGCTCTGCTCCCTGAGCAGGTTCATAACGTGCGTGGTGAACTCGCTGCAGGCCTGGAAAGACACACATTTGTAGCGACAAGCAACAAAACCGCCCCGAAGCCGCTTCCCCGACGAGAATATATATCCAAAAAAAAAAAGCTTCAGGAGTTCCCGTGGCACAGCTTTACTCTTAACCGGCAACAGATACGCGAGACATTTATTATCTTGAGTTTGAGGTCCAGTCCCTCTATCGTCACCTTCCTCCTGCAACCCTGGGGGAAGCTTTTCGACTGCGTTCGCCTTCCCCTGAACTCCTCAGGCTCCCCGACACCAAAGGAAAAAATGGTTATTGGTCATTGAGATGATAAAAACTCTTCCATGCAGAAAGATCACCTGTTCATATTTCTCTAGCTCAGAGTGGTAAATCTGTCGGATCTGTGACAGCTTGGCCCTGTAGTCAGAGTGTTCAATGCTATTGTCATTTGGACAGCCACCTGATGTTGCTGCTACAGCCATCGGTCCTCCTCTTCCTCTTTTCTCGGGCCCGGAGACACCCTCTGCCAGCAACATGTTATCTAGTCTCATTAGCTGAGCATCTGGGGGATCTTCTTCCTGAATACCGCGAATACTTAACACTGGATAAACACAGAGAGGGAAGCAAAAGGTTATTTCCGAGACGGGAGAGAGGCTCGGCTTCATTTCTGGCCCCGCGAGATCCCGGGGAAATCCACGCCGGGATGGAGTTTCACCTCAGGTGCCAAGGACACAACCGTGCGGACTGGAGTCTTAGCAAGTAAGTGCCGAGTTTTTAAAAATCTGGTCAAATCTCTTTGAAATCAGAAACAATGGGGAAAAAAAAATGCACCAGGAGCTGCTTTCCTTATGCTGAGACACACCAACCCAGACCGCAGCAGTCGCTACACTTGGATTATTCAAGTTTGATGTGATGCAAATTTATTTTTAAAACTTAATTTCCTCCCCCCCTTTATTTTTTTTTACAATTAATTCTGAAATTCCTTTCCTTAAAAAGCGTAAGATACCAAGTCAGTCCACAATATAGCAAGAGCTTTTTTGGCTTGTGATCTGATTTCAGCTGCTAAACCGTTTTTAGTCTGATGAGCAGTCAGCCTTAACCTTGTGAAGGCACCGAATTCAAACAGCCTTTTCCGACTCAGAACTGGCAGGTGAACGGGCTATTACGTTCCCTGCCAAACACAAACACAAAAGATCTCGTTATGCGAAGATTCTTGGGTGGGGGGCGGGAGAACAGAGACATTAAATCGACGTGTTTATAATAATTCCCAGCATTTTGTAGGCAAAAGAACAGCTCATCTTAAAAAAAAACAAACAACAATTTTGAACGTGCACGCAGCCTAAAGTTAGAAGTTAATATTTTGCAGGCTACCAAGAAACGACTACGCCCCATTCAGAAGATTCTGTTTGCTTTGAGCCTTTCTGACGGAACCCCCCTGCAACTCCTCAGCCCAGCAAGTGTAAATTCCGCACACGCTTTGGCGACGCCGTCTTTGGGTGTGCTGCTGCCAAACGCCTTGTTTTTATGCGCATTATGATGCATCTCAGAGCCCCTCGTGTTGAAGCTCAGCTCCCAGCTGCAGCTTAATTTTATGTCACTTGTCTAATTATGGTAATTAGCCATTAGTTATCATCAATTACACAGAAGCTCATCTCCAGCTGACTGCTGAGAAGGATGCACGAAGCACCTTCCCGGTCTGGGGGGAGGACGCGGGTCGGCTGGCTCTAGCGAGTCACAAGAAACTAGAGAGGAGTCAGCTGTCGCCAACACCTCGTTACCGTCTTTTCCGACCTCGGGGGCCAAACTTTTATTCAGTAAACTCTCCCGGAGTGGAGCAGACCCAAAAGCCGATGAGTGCAGGACGCTCAGTCTGTCCGACCCGCTGATTTTCAGCTTTCGGCGTCACCGTGCCTTAATATGTGCGACAGCTAAACCTCCGCTTCTACAGAAGTTGTCGCCACAGGTGTTACTCTGCAAGTAAAGCCATCCTCTGGAATGCATACCTTTGGCTAGAACTTTATTTTTAACTCCTAATATTTTCTCTCATTAAAATACTCATTCGGATCGTAACTTACATCAGATTCACCCAGAACTACCCACTCGGCGAATTCGGTTGCTGCAAGTTGCAGCCAGTTTCCAAAAGTGCATCGAGGAGAAAGCTTCCCCCTCTCGGTAACCTTTCGGCCCTCAAATTTTTGGCCTCAGAACAAATAACAACTCGGTGAGCACTTGAGGCACGACGAGGCCATCATCTGTTACGGCATGATCGGCGTTTTAAAATGTGGCGCGGAAAATCCTCACGTAACGGTAAAATCTTTCACGCCTAAATCCTTCGTAATCCCTCAATTTTATGAATGTTTAAGAAAAGCCCCGCAGCGGCTCAAAAAGCCTGAAGAATCTCTCCTGTCAGCTATATTTATATAAGATTTCACCTATATAATGTATATAAAGACAATATTGTGTATTCTCTGGCACCCCTCCTGCCAGATACTCATCAGATACGTAAAATAATTATACTAAGCAAAATGAAATTCCCATCATTTCTAATTAATCTTTAATTAAAACACATCCCAAGCCGAGGTGCCGAAGCCTCACTCGGTATGCAAATGCAATCATTCCAATATATTTACATCTCATTAATTAGAGATTTGCGGCTCCGTAATGAAGCTGTACAAGATGCTGGTCCCAAAATAAGCGATAGGTGCTCTGCTCAGACGTGCCTCCCTTGCCCAATTTCCCTTCGTAGGGAGCGGGTAACGCCCGACAGAGCAAGAACAGCATCGGTTGGGTAAAGAATGGGCAAAGTTTGAACCAAAACCTGCTCGATTCAACCCAGAAACGAGCAGCCCCCATGGCTCGGAACGTCGGTGAATGCTAGTGAACACTAGGTGAGCTTTTTTTGGGATCAGATACACGTCCTGGTTTGAGCTAAAACCCCTTTAGTGGTTTCACTTTTCCCAATAGCTACATGTGCGCTCCAGGCAGGACTTGAAATAAAATCCGGTTCAAAAAGAAATAAAATTTAAAATCGTTTTGGGGAGCAGGGCACAGGGTTGCACCGAAATATTAAAAACGTGGCCAAACCTCTTGGCGTCCCAAAGAGCCCTTCGTAATTTCTTTATTAATTAAGACACTCGGCGCGGGGGGAATTTCTGGGCACGGCTGCCCCGTTGTAAAGGTTTCTCCCCGGCTATTGTGAGTGATCCGAGCGCTCCAACAAAGAGGGAAAGAAAGATGGGCCAGGGCTGGGGGGAAGGAGGAGGAACATGTTTGGAACCGATTTCCCAGCTCGAAAAGAAGCGCCCGGGTCACAAAGAAAGCCCAAAAAACCTTGTGCTACAATCCATCCAGGCTTTTGTTTGCTCCAAGCCATAACATCTGCTCCCCGTGATTTAAATAAGGGAGAGACGGACGGTCAGACGTTCAAAAAAAACCAAACAAACCCCGCAATAATAAAAAAAACTACGAGGCTAAACCAAATCCAGCATCACCCGATACCGGAATCTGGTTCGCGCAGGTGCATTCAGCTCGGAGCCGTCGCGGCTTCCATCAATAAAACGCAACTTTTGGCATCGGAAAAAAAAAAAAAAGATGAGAGACCCCTCCCCGAGCTGCGGGATCGCCAGCTCCATCGCTCCTGCGGCATTCCCCAGCGCTCTGCCTCGCTGTCTCTTTTTCTCCAGAATACTCTGACCTGTCAACTTTGAACCGTTCCAACCACCACGATTTTGATATCACAAAGAAAAAAAATCAAAACCAAAAGAGCCTCACAGTTACGCTGGGTATCCAACCAGACCTCAAAAAAAAAAAAATCAAACCCCAACCTGGAGATTGTTTACGCACACAAAAGCAACAACTATTAAACCAAACTAAAAAGATCTTCAAGTTGTAGAACCCATGAAGGAAAATACGCTAAATGAGAGCCAGGCTGATGACGGATGGTGGGGTTGTTTTTTTTGAGGGGAGGAAGCCAAGGCCAGGGAAAAAGCCGCCAACACACCTGTTTTCTCCTTGATTTCACACAGGACGCTGAAAAGCGCCGGCTTCATTCGGTGGCAGTTCAAGGCGTGTTTCCTGAAATGGAAAGAAAGAAAAAAAATGAGCGAAATCCCAGCAGGGACGGCCGAGGGAGACGCCGAGAATTACCAGGGACCAGCTCGCACCTCGCTAGAACCTCGCTAGAACAGGTAAGTGCGCGAGATCGGGGCGGAAACGCGATGCGGTAACGTCGAAGCACCATGTTCCATCGTGAAAACACACAGGGTTTGGGGTTTTTTTAATTAGATCTCAAAATTCCGCGTCGAGCAAGCGCCTTCAGTTCGCCCAAAAGCGTATCGATCCTCCTCGAGTTAGGATGCGCGGGTAAAACGTAACAATGGAATCCATCCAAAAAGGGAGGGAAAAAATGGTGGGTTTAGAGCAAGCGGCCACTTGGCCCGATGGAAACCAGCTCGGACCGAGCAGCGTTTGTGCACGGGTTTTACTGCGAGCGCCAATTTTCGAAGCTCTCCCGGCGTTGGCCGCTTCACTTTGCTCCTTCTCGGGGGGAAGCGACGACGTTC